AGGACAGATCAGCTCACCCACCCATTGGTTTTTGAGCCAACTGCCAGCTCGAGGCTCTGGGGCTGTGTAATGAATCAGGCAAGTTCAGCTCACCTGCTGAGGCTGCTCCCGGCCAGTGGTAAGTCTCCACCTTCGGTAGGTCGAGTCCAACTGCTCGACTATGTTGCCATGCCCTGGCCTCCCACTACAAGGTAGCTAGCTGGAAACCATGTGAAATGTCTGCTGATGCAGGAACTAAGTGGTTATGAGACAATCCATGTCTTCTCCTTGTCTCACAGGAAAAGAATCACTGAGTGAGAAGTGACATCCCATGGCTGTTTCCATGTTTGGAAACTAAGTCTTGGGCTTGTAAATTTTTATTCCCCAGCATAACTGATGTAATTTCATATTAATCTACTGTTCACTGTTCAAGACCACTATTTGGATCATACAGCGGACATCTGCCCCTTTCCATAAGGAATTCTCTGCCAGCAAGATGACGCCAGTGGTGCAGTGTCCCTTTCCCCAGATGAACTTCTGGAATGGGATGTGCCATGTCAGCATGATGAGCAATCAAACAGACCCAGGGACCAGGCCAGACAGCAAGGCTGTGGTGGCCAGTGGACACGGATTTCAAGGCCATGGCTTTAAAATACTTAAAATATCTCCCAGAACAGCTATTTGGAGTCACTAGGAGTGGAGAAATAGAGCAGATGGGAGCAAACTGGAACTTCTGTCCTGTTAAACTACTTGTTTTAATTCTCTTGAGTGCAGTGCATTACAGAGATATTGTAAGATACTGGTCCTTACGAGCCAGCCTGAGTCACTAAACTGACCAACACAGTTGGCACCAGTACTAATCTATCAAGTAAGTGTTTCACTCTGATTGAGGGCCCGTACCCGGGAGAGTAGTCATTTTCTACAAAGCCTGGCTGCCCAGCATTACCAGTAAAAGAGGCAGTTTCACAGAGCCAGACAAAGCTGCCACGTGGCTGCACTGAGGAAAATGTGCCTGTGTATGGGCGTGCCTTTCCCTCTCACGATCAGTAGTGACACAAGACAACTTCTGCAGCTGTCTTCAGTGTTCACTTTGAATAGCAAAAATCACTACCTTAGCCTGGAGTAACAGCTGCTGTTTACTCTGGGTCCCAGGAAGGCCAAAGCAAGCCTACATACCTCCTGTTTCAGGCAGAAAAAATGATTACAGAAATCTGCTTAACTGCACTAAAGAAAATGGGCTACACTTGCACCATTAAAGATCTCGTGAGAATTTCATCGGAATATAGCAAAAGCGGATCTCACACACACACACACACACACACACATGCGCGTGCACGGAAATGGTAGTCCTCTACTCTTCCATGTACTTTACTACCTTGGGGAATAACAGATGGGCTGATATTGGAGGCACAAGTGAAATATTTATGAAAGCCAAAGTAACTGGGATAGTAAACTCATAAAGCAATAATTTCCTCTACTATATTCAGCAGCATATGCAAAAATGAGAATATTTTTACATAATAAAATGCACCAGCAAAAGCTACAGATGAAATGGTAAAGCAGAAATATGCAAGGCAGAGTTTCCTTCAACACACTAAAAAGGGTTCAGAGAGAGAGGAGCCTGCAGGGTTCCGTGGGTGCTCTGGCTGTTGTTGCTCCTCATAAGAAAACTTTGAATTTGTGTCAAGTTCCTCCCCCACAGTTCAGACCTGCTGGTGCAGGCTTTCCCCCAATGTGCCTGTGGACCAAGTGATAACACAAGGTTCTTCGAAAGCCCTCCAGAGTGATGTCCGTGGGGTGCACATTAGAAAGACAGTTTTGCAGGCCCTGCCATTCCTACCTTGTCCAAGAGCCCGGTTTTTTAACCACACTCTTCAAAGACCAGGGCTCCACCCAGGTTTCTGCCAGTCTCAGGAATGCAGCCTCGGAGGAGCCGGATGAGCGCAGGCGCACAGAGGCGCCTGTATCCCACCCCTCTTCTCCTTGACACCCCGACGTCATGGCCCTTCAGTCTGGAAATGAAAGCCCTGCCCAGAAATACACCAAGCTTGCTCCTGGAGGACAGGCAGGACTGGTGGGACCCAGCGCAGCAGCCTGGCCTGGTCTGCTCAGCCTGGCTGGTCTCTCTGTGGGCAGTGGGTGGTCACCACCTCCCTGTGGCTCGGAAACAGAAAGGCTCGCCTGTCCCCAGCAAGCTTCATGTGTGATAGGCTCCTTCATGCCCAGGCCTTCATGTGTGATAGGCTCCTTCGTACACCATCCCAAGTGTCCCTCGTTCCTTGAAATGCGACTGTTTAGATGCTCATTCAGGAGATCTTCACACCGGCTCTGGTCTGTGCTGGCTCTAGCAATATGTAGAGAGACAGCGAAGCTTCTGCATACTTGCTGGTCAAGAATGTACAGGTGAACAAAAATAACAAGCGAGCAAAACATCAGGCAGCAGCATGTGGGCTGAACTGCATTTTAAACCACATTGTAAAGGAGCGGCTGGCTTGGGTCCCACAGCCGATGACACTTTCCGGGGAAGAGGGATCTCAGAGGTGCATGAGGGAGGAGCCTGCCATGCCAGTAGGAGGAGACATCCCTGCAGAGTGAACCCACCGGAAAGGCTGTGAGACACAGGCATGCTGCAGTGGAGAGCAGCTGCTAAGGGGAGAGAAAGCAGAGAGAGAGGCGAACACAGGGAGCCGGCCTCGGCCACGGGTACTGGAAGCCGGAAGCTGGACAGGGAGCAGCGCACGTGAGAAAGCCACTAGAGGTTGCGGCTCAGTGACCTGTGTTCAAAACCAGCACCCCTCAGTGTCCGTGGGCGTGGGTCTCAGGCTGCCCCACCACCCCCACGGGGATCAAGGTCCATGGGGCACGTGTGCCTGATACGACAGCACAGTAGCATGACATTTACACACACTTTAACGCCTCTCCACGAGTGTCAGCGCTAACACAATTCGAGCGCTGACAGATCGTGGTGACGCTGCGTTGCTTAGGGAGCAGTAAGGAAAACTCTGCACATGTTCTGCACAAACATTTTCTGAGAGCTTTCAGCCACGACTGGCTGAATCCACGAGTGACATAGACTCGTGGCTGTGCAGAGAAGGAATGTCCAGGAGGTGAACGAGCGCAGAAACAGAGGTGCCGGTGGGACAGCCCTGCAGTACTCAGGACAAAGACACCGCTGGGCTGGCCTGGGGTTGCAGTGCAGATAAAAACACCCAGACATAAGGACAGAGGCAAACGGACCTCATGACAGATTTGACATCCAGAAGCATATGCTGCAGTCTTTGGGTTCAGGCAAGACAGTAAGATCATTCACTGAAGAAAGGAAGGCTAACTGGGTGCAGGTCACGGAAGCCAGAGCCCTACTGTGCTCAGGGGCTCTGAAGTGTCCACGAAGCTCCTGCTCACAGCTGCCAAGCAGGGAGGTGGACACAGGGGCTGCAGGAAGCACACACATCAAACGGCCCAGCCTCCACCCTAGGCTGTCAGGGACCTGAGGCTTGAGCTTCACTTTGCCTTGTTCTTTCTCTTACCTGGTTTTCATGATAATACTGGAGTTCAGTCAAGCATAGACTTTGTAAAGATTAAAATAAAGCCCTCACGTGTGGGGTTATTATTACAGCCACTTTCCATCAAGTGTTTGTCCGACATAAACTGTTTAAATGTCTTCACTGCAGAAGTTTCAGATCATGCAGCTTCCCCTGCCCTCAGAGACCGTGCTCTTGTTCCCAGACTCACAGTGTGAAGAAACTCGAAGCTGCTCCCAACAATGATAAAAGAGGGGCCCCTAAAGAGTCAGCGTGCGCCTCGCCCAGTCACAGCACGCATGTCCACCCCCCGCCCCCGCCACCCCGCCGACTCGACAGCAGTTTCCCCACACACGCATCCAGATATGATGTGAAATCTAGGCCCTTTAGTTTCCCTAATGATGACCCAAGGGAAGACTTCAGTGCCCCAGAAGATGGTGCATTCGCCACTGAATGCCAGTCATCTCAGGTTCACAGTTACCTACTGCTCTGTGTTTAAAACATTCCTGTGCAAAATGCAATTTTATGGGGCAAGAACACACCCACCACCAGACATGCACACTTCGGTATAAAATTAGATTGTGAGTCCTGAGGACAGGCTCAGGGCTCATCGGTGTGGTCTGGTTGTGGTCGGGTGGCCCTGAGGCCAGCTCTTCTGCTCAGAGTCCAGATGGACAGGTCAGGGACGGCCAGGCAGAGACCTGGAAGTTCGCAGAAGGTCATCTCTCCACTCAGCCTCTCCTGATTGTGGCCTTCATCCCACAACAAGTGAGGGCCACACTCTTGTCTTCTTTCAGTGGGAAGAAAAAGCATGAAAGGTGAAGTCAATAAAACTTGTGCAGCTGGATTTCTCATAGAACCCAAACTTTACCAGCAAGTCCATAGCTAAAAATTGTATTTGGTAAAACTGAGTCTGGTAAAAGGGTGAACGCGAGTGCTCGCATTATCACGACACTGCTGACACTGCTGTCTCTGCTGTCACAAACAAGAACACCACCCCCGGGGTCAGGGTTAGTCTTCCAAGAACCTGGGTGAAATCAAAGCAGCGCACAGCCCTCAGTGCTGTTCCCATGGCGACACAGTGCGCAAGGATGTCTCCAGCCAGTCCCTGTGGAGCAGAGCTCAGAGCTCAGGGAGAACAAAATACTTACAGGCATTGAAACTAGTAAATCATTTAACAAATTATAAAAATTTGCCATGGACCCTAGGTTTTGCACATTGCATTTGACCAGTTTGTGGATCATCAAAGCTAATTTCAACCCCTGAAAGACTTCTCCCAGCAGTGATCCTGCTGTGAGTTCTCTCTGCATGGCGCTGAACAGGTGTGGAAGTGTGTTCTAATGCACAAACTGATGCCGAGCAGAAGAAACTTAGAAAGTTGACATGAACCAATCATCTGTCAAAGCCAAGTTAAAGTGGGTTTGGACCTTAATTTTCACCCCATGCAGTGTCCTTCCCTTGCGGCCCCCTAACCAAGCCCCCTGTCGCTCTGTCTTGCAGCCTCCGCCAGCACCTACGTCCCCACAGTGTGCAACGGGCGCGAAGTCCTGGACTCCACCACCTCATCGCTGTGACGGCGACTCCGGTTCAGCTCTTGTTTTTAGACTGTTAGACACACGTGCTCACGTGCAGCTCCAGAATGCAGAGACAGAACAAAAGGACCCTAGAACCTTTTTTTAGAAGCAGTACATAAATTATTTTTGAGGACTGTACAGTACAGTGACGTGCTAGGACTTTCTAGGCTGATTTTAGTACCCCTATTATTAACGGTTCCCCAGAGCACAGAACTAACCATTGTTTACAGAGCTGACATTGGTGACAGGTCTGACAGGGTCAGTCTACTAAAAACTATGGTGGCAATATTAGGTAGCGTTTTTTCCTATCAAGTTTTTGTAGGTCCTTGTTGTAACTAATTTAGGATGAGTTTCTATGTTGTATATTAAAGTTACATTATGTGTAACATTGTTTTTCTGAGCACAAAATAAAAAGCATCTGTGTTAATGTAAAGACGTCGGGAATAAAGCCTTCGAGGTTTTCCAGCATGGTGGGAAATGGTTCGTCTTTTCTGAGTGTGTTGAGATAACGTGAACACGTGGACTGTGGCTCATTTATACTTTTGATTTTGGAAGGCATCACCCAGCTGTGCCCCTGTCACATCCACACACGGTTGGCACTCAAGCGGCTGCCCTACCTGAGGGCTAGAGAGCAATCCGGACCTCATCACAGCTCACGATGACCGGACAGTGACTGGTGGTACCACAGCATCACGTGACAGTACCCAGCTCAGAGTGCGAAGCCAAAGCTGTCAGACACCCCAGAATTACTAAGCCACAGCTCTGAGGTAAACAGCATCCTGAATCCGTCCTGCATGCGCACGGTGGTCTGCAGACGCGGGTTCACCCTTCCTGGGCAAGAGCGGGGAAAGCACCGTCCCTCCTTGGGAAGCGCTCCCTGCCCATGGCCGAGTGAGTTCCCAGGAAGAGCACTGGGGCACACAAGCTTGTCACTAAACTTAGATGTTTCAGTCACCTAAATAAAAGAGGAAATAGGTGAAGTGTAGGCAACCTAAAACTGGATTATTTTTACTAATACTGTCCTATTTCTGTCAACCTTTTAGTAGCAATTTTTTTTTTTTTTTTTTTTTTGAGATAGGGTTTCACTATGCAGTTCAGGCTGGCCTTAAACTTACTTTGTAGCCCGGGCTGGCCTCAAACTCACAGAAAACCTCCTGCCTCAGCCTGCCAAGTGCTGGGATAACAGGCGTGTGCCTCCACACCCAGCCGCAAATCATTTATTAATGTAGGAAAAGTTACTGAGAACACAACTATCTGTCAGATGCTTCATCAGGTACCATGGACAGAGAAAATGCCATAAACTGTGTAGTTTAAACAACAAAAACGTATTCTCTCTAGGTTACAGAGGCCAGAAATCTGAAAAGAAGGTATGCAGGGCCATGCTCCCTTGCAAGCCCTGAACAGTCCATGCATCCCTTTCTCAGCGTCTGGCGTGGGAGGCTTCCTGGGCTGTGGCCGCATCACCCCACCTCTGCCTTGTCTCCGCCACGTTCTCCCGTGTGTCTGGGAAGGACACTCAATCGTGGGGCTTGACGACCACCGCAGGGACCTAGGGTGAGCTCATCTTGACCGCCTTCGTTTATGCAAAGTCACTACCCCAGTAAAGCAGAGTTCTCAAGTCCCAGGGACAGGATGCAGACGTGCTGATTTGAAGTCACTACAGTCCATGAAGAACAGAAAGAGGAATTAGGTATCATCTCTGCATTTAAGAAGGTAAAGATCAGAAAATATTTTAATGAGGGAACTGTGACCAAGGAAGGTAGAGGAAAAAGAAAAGCAGAGATCTGAGGGACGCACAGAATAAACAGGGCTTGGGGCTGGGGATTTAGCTCAGCAGCAAAGCACCCGCCTGGCAAGCGCAAGGTCGTGAGTTCGATTCCCGGTACCAGGAAAAAAAAAAAAAAAAAGAATGAAAAACAGGGCTTCAGACAAACAGAAAATACTGACAGTATTTTAAAAACACCCAAAAAACAATGAGCAGGTGCACAAAAGCCCACAGAACTGGGCTCCAAGGACATGAAGGCGTCAGCTGTGAGAGATCCTTCTCTGTGGATGCATTTGAATCCACAACCGCACCAACCGATCCAAAGCCCACCAGGTGCTCGAGCAGCGGTGTCCCCAGCCCCTGAGTCCTCCTTTTCAAACAGGAACCTGGGATTTGGGGAGCGAGTGGGTAGATCGAGTAAGAGATTCAGCACCACTAAATGACGAAAACTGCTCTCCCTGCGGCCGCGCCTGCAGGAGGGCACGGGAGCGCTCAGGGCGAGCACCTGCCCGGCGCGAAGGCAGAGCGGAGGCTGCAGCCAGGGCCAAGGCGCTCAGCGCGGCGGGCGGCGCGGGCCGCAGGGGGCGGCCGCGGCCTTGGAGCCTGGGCCAGACGGTCCCGCAGCTCCGGGACAACACCGCAGACGTGTGCGGGCCGGGAGGACACGGGGGCGGCGGCCGGACCTCAGGCTGACCCCCGACGCTGGGACGGCGACCCCCCGCAGTCCCCTCGCTTTCCCCTTCCTCGTGCACACCTGCTTTCTGGTTTGAAAATGCTCACCTGTGAGTCCAGAATAATTTTTAGGAACGTTCAGCACGTTTTCCTTCCCTCCCTAAGCCCCGCTCCCTCCCCGCCCCCTGGCTCGCTCCCCTTCCCCTGGGAGCCAGCTCTCCGGCCTTCCCAGGACCCGCCTCCCCGCTGCTCCTCATCTGCCCTGTGGGTTTCTCAACGGAAAAGCGATGCAATATTTAAATCTGTGTACGGAAAAGAGCCACTAGAAACTTTTTTTTACAAAAAGCATTAAAAACAAGTAAGTTTTTGCTTTTTTGGAACAAAAAGGCAACTACATTTCAGTCTTCCAGAACACAAAACTGGTTGAGCAGATCCACCTTTGCAAAACTTCCTGAATTTAAGGGACCCAGGCTGAACAATACATCTCATCCACTAAAACACACTTATTAGAATCTAACTACATGCTCGATCATCCTCGATTTTTGGAGTGTTCACAGATCTTGGGGTGTTCTGTCCTCACCTGGACATTAATATAATTTCCTGCCCATCCAAGTTGGTGTGATAAAAGCAGCTGCTGTTTTTAAACTGCAGGGAACATGGCTCGAGGAACACAGGGAGAGTTGATGCACAGCTGAGGAAGAGGCCGGCTCAGCCGTGCCGCTCCGGCCTCTAAGCCCACACTGCTCCTGGCAAGTCCCTGCTTTATTCATCTGCTCACTGCACCAGTTTCGGGTTCCAGAGATTCTCAGATCGGGGCTGTGCGCACGCAGAAGCCAAAGAGCAGAAGCTGCCAGGAAGACGGATTATAACCGGAGAGCTGAAGACGGGTCCAGCCCCTAGAAAGACAAAGTCCACGCTGCTTGGTGACAGTCAGGTCCGCATCATTCTAGCTGGTTTAACTCTTGAATTTGAAATGCAGTGAAGATGATGTGAGATTAGTTACTGGAGATGAAGGAAGCAATGTCCCCCTCCAACCAAGTCTACCAAAATTTACAAGCTATTTTAGGGCCCTCCTTCCAGGAGTTACTAATAAGATAAAGAACATTCCAGCAAATAAAAAGCCAGTCAGTTCAAGGATGCTCAAGATGTTTCTTGAACACCGATCACTAAAGGGATCCTAAAGTCTTTTAAAGTTCTTTAGGTGAGAAAGTAGGATTTGGTAATTGTGGAAAGACCAAGTGTGCCCCACCTTATGAAATGAAAGTAAAGCAGGGGCTCCAGGGCCAGCGCTCGAGATTCTGTGCTGGAGCTACTTTTGTGCATCATCCCTTAGTTCATCTGGTGGCCTGAAATGGATTCACATGTAAGCTGGACTATTATTTCTAACTCCCCTTGGCAGTATCACATACGCCTCCATGACAGAAGATGCTAAAATCTGTCTTGCTAATTTGCTGTGTACCAATTTACTTATTTTTGTTTTATCCTCCGCCAGTTAATATGCACAGTCCCAGCACTACAAGAGTACTCAGGAGAGTATCCGACTTTCCTTTGAGGGTGGCTGGATTGCTGAAGGCAGGTGACAGGTCACTTTCTCTTTGCACACTCAGATGTTCACCCCGCTGCCAGGGCGGTGAACTCCAACTGAAGAGCACTCGCGCAGGCAGCTCTTCTGACCAGTGCTGCCATGGCTCTGGTCATGCACACCAGGGCCAGGCAAGCCCTGGCCTACCTCCTGTTTACAGCTGTTGGGCTAAGAAGGCATCGATATTTTTAAATAACTGGAAAAACATCAAAAGAAGAATATGTAAAGTGTGGAACTTAAATGAAGTTGTGACGCCAGGGAGTGGGTGCAGTTCTGTCAGGAGGAAGCCGCCCCTCTGTTCCTCGTCCCAGCCACTCTCAGGCCACAGTGGCAGAGCTGAGTAGACGCAGCAGAGACAGCAGGACCCACGGAGCAGAGAGGTGCCCCTTCCCCTCCAACCTGCACACAGCAGCGTGCTGGGCTCCAGCCTGCCTCTGCCCGGCACCGTGGACGTGAACTCCACTTTGATTTCCAAGGAATGAGGCAGGCGTTTGGATTTTTTTTAAAGTTTTCTTCCCTCAGAATCTCTCCATAAGGAAAGCTTAATTTAGACTGGTTTCTGTATTTATAACTGCTATGAAGTGAAGGGGGGGAATTTCAGGTCCTCTGAGGGTCTCTTCTACCTAGCATTCATGTGAGCCATGCACGCACTTTCAATTAGCAGCGGGGTCATCCTCTCATCCTAACCCCCAGGACACTTTCTTTTCACAAGGAGGGGAGAAAAGATGCAATGCTTCCCTTTGGGAATGACCCCAAGCCACAGAGAACAGCTCCATGGAGAGACATCAAGTGACAGCTGGCCAGATGGGTCTTTTCGAACATGAGCCACCACGACTGCAGGCAGTGACCCAACCCAAGCAGTTCTACACAACCACCCTAAGCCACCTTTATCGTTGGGAAGAAAATGTGACAAAACTCTGAACAAAAATACTAGGAAATTCTTTAATCCTGGGAAGGGTGTGATTATTAGTAACCAAAGAATGGGAAAGTCAATAATAAAACTCAGTCTTATAAATCAAGCAAACACGTATCAACTTGCTCAACACTGTTAACGACATGATAGACTTTGTCCATAGAGGACGCACTCTCATCCAGTGGAAAACTGATTTAAATAGGTTTTGACAGAGTGCCAAGGGATGTTATGGGTGACAGTTGATTTAATGAAGTGTTTAAGGCTTCAAAAATGTGCTTTTTAGAAAAATAACAAATAACAACTTTTCTACCATGGGAGGGGGGAGAAGAACAAATGTCAATTAAATTTGTTTATGCCTTTCAGCATTACACTGAGCTTCGCAAAGGCCAGACATAAAACTAAAGTGGGTTCTACAGCCAGAATTGTTCTGAAAATTCTCCTAATACTCTTCTTGTTATCCTTCTTTAGCCCTTGGGATAAAATGACAGCCCACTGGAATCCGAAGGGACAAGGCAGCACCTTCCCAAGTCGGGGCTGAGCTGACAGCACCCGCTTAATATCTAAAATTAGAAATAAGATAAATTCTTCAATACGAACTGCATTTTCAGAGAGTTCATTAAACTTTAAGGCATTTCTGACATGGCAGAGATTTTAGTCCAGTGACAAGACGAGAAGGCAGAGACCAAGGGCAGAGCCCAATTATCTGGACAGCGTGGAACATACATGTGCACACAGCAGACAAGAGCAGTGATAGGTGACCGGGGAGCCACCTGAGTCTGTCCAGCTGTACAGCTTTGAGCTCAGAATGGGTGCACTTAAAAGATGTTTCATCCTTCTTGTTAAATTTTTATCAAAGTGGGTAAAGACATGCTGGCGCTCTGGTCCAGGACAAAAATGAACAGTGCCAAAATAATTCCTGCTTTATAAATGGTCCAAGAAGTTTTGTTGCTAAGTGACAGCCTCTTTGAGTCCCACGACAAAGATAGTATGATGGCAACTTCAGCTATACGCATGTGCACCAGCAGAGACATACACAACACAAACATCCACTCCACGGTAGCAAATGGTCTAGCATCTCACCCACTCACCAGACGAACACAGAACACACCTCCAGTTTTCACAGCAATAAGGACACTACCTGTACAACAGCACATTACAGGCCATACTTCATAGAGACACCCGGGGCCTGTTCGTCATGCGTCACCCACGTGCCCTGCCACTCCAGGCCAGTCACAAGCCAATATGAAATCTGGGTGAAGATCTACAAAGATCACTGTTTATTGGGAATAACCAGGGTACCTTCGGTCAGCAATGCCAGGAAAATCCCCCTTCCCCCAGTTCTAAACAAAGTTTACATAAAATTAGTCAAATCCATCTTCAAACTTTTTTCAACAAATAAGTCATATGAACACTAGTAACCTATTATAAGAAATATCACAATTTCCTGGGTCACTGTTGAATAAGCTTATTTCACAGGTGCTTAGGTACATCCACATTCTCATCCACATACACAATTATGTATTTTCCAAAACTGAATTCCTGCTTCATAGGCTTGAAAAGATGCCTCCCCGCAAGACCACCATAAACCTCAAAGTCTTGCAGCAGGAAAATCACCACACAACCTCCTGGGCCGGGCCTGGGGAAAGCTTCACACTCATTCTCTGCAGACCCAAAGTCACCCCAACACCCGCACAGGCGTCCGTGCGTACGGACAGCGCCCACACCGTTCCTCAAGGCTGTGCAACTGACGGGACATGCAGGCTCTCCTGCTTCAGTCTCCACAGCCCGCTGTGCCGAGCCCCCACCTTCCACGCACTAATGTAAGTCAAGGCTTCTCACTGCCTTTTAAGTTTTTTTAAGATTCCTTCAAGCTTTTGGTCAAACTCTTCTGACCAGTTCCAGCAAGGACAGAGTTTCAAAGGCAGTTAGAAGTAAATAACCCAAGAACACACTAATTCCCCCTAAAATATTACTGATAAGTTTCTGAAATCAAGAGAAAATACCCTACAAAAATGAAAAGTTTATTGTCTTTCATCACTCACCATTTTTAATAGAAAAGATGATTTAAGGTCTGTTGGGAAAATAAATAATGGGAAAAATAATTATACCTTAGAAAATTTTTCCAATCTTTTCCAAAATATAAACAAAGACAAGACATAAATGAGATCACAGGCATATGCTCGCCTCCGCACTGCAGGGCACACTCACTGCCCAGACAGGAGAAAGGGGAAGGCCGCCCGCTGGTCCCACGCATGCACCCCAGCGCCAGGGCCCTGCGTGGTGCCGGTCACGCATGTGGACAGCAAATCTCTTCCTGAGCGAAGCTTATCTGCAGTTGAGACCCAGTCTGTTTGCATTCCTCAGTTTGGAAGGTCCTGGAGCGCGTGGTAAGGCAATCAAACATCCTCCTCCTTCCCCTTGGCAGCATGGCGCCCCTGGGGAGGCCCAGCCCCCAGGAGGACAGGCCCTCACTACAGTCCTGCACAGTGGGGAGCGCGTTTCTCAGGCCACTCCTCTGAAGCCCACAGCACGAACGCTTCATATATTGGGGGATCGTGAGGATTTCAGCTGAACAGATTCAAAATGTTCTTCTTTTTCCTAAAGAAAAAAAAATTAAACACAAAATCAACACACTAGGATTCCAATAATATTTTAGGATCCCAATGGTCCAGAAAGAAAGTTCATTTTAATCTATGTATCTGCCATTTGTCATTAAGATTCTACATTTACTCAAGTAAGGTGGCAGATATAAAACAAGCAGCATGCCTACCCTGAAGGGCACTTTGATGTCCAAGAGATAAGACAGGCAAATCCAGAATAAAGCAAAGACATCATCGCAACAGATAGGAAAAGATGCCACACGATGCCTGCAAAGAAACCTCTGTGCCCCTCCCAGGGCACACCGACCTTGGTGCAAACCCAGCGACCTTGCCATGCTGACTGTGGGCACCCAGAACTGACAGAAACTAAGTAACCTAGAGATGGCACACGCTGAAAGATGAGAGAAAGGACAGCAGAAAGAAGGGAGAGAACACCAGTGTGACACGAGGGCACCAGTGACGCTGACCGTTTCAGGAAAGTCCTTGAGTCCATGCCTGCTCAGAATACTAGAAGTTGCCTCAGATCATGCATCCAAGTTTTATTTAAAACGTACCATTTCTGCTATTATAGGACACATTTAAAATACAACCCATTAACTAAATTATTTCTCTTTAATGGGAAAAATGACATAATATCAATAGCAGGAAGCCGCCCTGCTGCTGCCGACAGCCGCTGTGTCCTCAGTGCTCCCAGGACGGCTCTACAAGAACCTGCCCGAGTCACGTGCTTTCAGCTGTAACCAGCTCGGGAGCCACCACGGAAGACTCACATATCACGGAGCACAAGCAGCACTACAGAACAGGAGGAGACTGCAGGGCTGGGAAAATGGGCATCACAAAACATCTGCTCTCCTGGTGCAAATGGCATATGAAAGGAAGTGCTTAAGGGCGTCAGGCATGCAACAGAAGCGAAATGTGAGATTTTAGATCTGATTCAACATGTTCTGAGGGAAGGAAACGGACACCCGCCTGTCTCCTCAAAGTCACATTTAACATGCAACACTGAAAACCCTTCATCCAGTCAGAGTCACGTTGGGACCATGGGGGCTCTGATTTTGCTCCTGGTGCTGAGGTGGGCAGGGGGGTTGAGCATAATTAGCAAGGCAGTGCTACCAATGGACAGGGACTTCCCAGTGGGAGGAACCACTCTTCATTTCTTAATTCCAAAACAGGACTCACACACTAGCCCGTGGCTGTCAATCACTGCTTATGGAATGACATGAAATATCACAGGATAGAAGGACAAACACTCAAGTGGAACTTAAAGATGGTGACTTCTGATCCCTCGACAGCCCTCTGGGACAAATATGTGAGCTGCCCTCGGTCTCAGTATGCATACATAGGCTAAGGTGCCACATGGGACAAATGTTCAGAGCCCCATTGTCCAGCCAGATTGTTCCGGGAGGGCCTCCTCACCTGCTGCTTCCTGCCAGACCGCACTCCCCTCCCGTGTCCAGGTTTCCCTCTTGTGGGTCTCACCACTCTGGGGGTGTGTGTGTGTGTGTGTGTGTGTGTGTGTGTGTGTGTGTCTTGGCGTGTTGTGACGTGTCTTCCTTCCCCCACTATTCTAATTTCATATGTTCCCCATCTAACAATTCATCTAATGTGACTACCGTCCTCGTTAGTATAGTGGTGAGTATCCCCGCCTGTCATCTCATGTGACTCAGAAATCTTATGGACTAAACAAAAGAAACAACAAAAATCAATTGAAGATATTTTGAATATGTGGGAAAAGTCAACAAAATTAGATAAAGCTAGTTCTACGTGACAGGGCAATTAAACTCACCATATTTTTGCTCTTTGAAATCATGCATAATAAACTTTCTAAACTGGAACACACAGTAAGACTTATACAATGAAATTCACAGACTCTTTACTCAGGCAACAGTAGAAATACCACAGATTCCATTAACAGAACAAATTATCGAATTCTGGTAGTATATCCAGGCAATGAAATACTGCTTCTGAACAAAAAGGAATCTGTTACTGATCAGCATAATGAGGTAGCTGATCTCACAAACACCGTTCAGGGTGAAAGAAAAATTACACCCACTACTACCTACATGACTGTAACAACATGATACTCTAAAACAGACAAAGTGGATCTGCAGTTCACAAGATCAATACGCAGTCTCCTTCTGGAGGCAAGCAATGGACTTACACCAAAGGACGCCGGCTCAGGCACCTGATAGGACCTGGAGCCACGCAGGCAGATGCATTTCCAAAACTGGCCAAATCTATACAGTCTGGTGGTGTGTGCATTTCACCTTTAAGAAAAACCTTAAGAAGATGCATATCTTGAGGTGCTCAGGGGTGAAATGCATTGCGGCTCTAACTTACTTTGAAACACACCAGAAAAAAAGACTGCTGAAAGGGTGGGGACAGACAGATACACAACAAAGGAAGCACAATAACATGCAGGCGCTGGGCTAATGACTTTACCACCGCACAGTTCTCCCAACTTTTCTGTAATAGTTCAAATTTTCATTTTAAGAAGCAAAAAACAAAACCCACGCTGACCGAAGCTGCTAAGGAAAACAGAACATGGAATGTGAACTCTCCTGGGGGCGCGGCTCTGGCTGCCCCTCCCTCTCTGTGATGTTTCCGAGGATCCCCCAGCTGGCAGTGCCCGGCCCCGTGCTTCAGGAAAGGGGCCACAAGGGCAGGACACACTCCACCTGCTGTCCCGAGCCGTCCAGCCGAGGGGTCGCTGTCTCCCGCAGGTCCTCCTGGCACTGCGACACCCTTTCCTTTCAGACAGCCGCCTTACAGGCTGAAATCACCAGCTCAGCCAATCCACAGGAGACTGAGTAAACCGAGGCTGGCAACCGTTCTCCAGTGAGGGAGACCCTGCACGTCCTTTCCTCAAATCTTTCAAAGATGCTGGTGCAATACAAGGCCTTGGAAGCGGAGGAAGCATCTCCTTGCAGAGCAAAGGCAGTGTATGCTTCCAGTGCTGAAAGCCCCGGGCAGCGCCTCCCGCCAGCACAAACAGCAACACAAGCGCTCCTCCTGCAAGAGGCCGAGCTGCAGCCACCCGGGTGTGCAGCTGGCACCTGGTCCTCTCCACCTCGCCCTGTGCGGAGTGGGTGTGGAGCCTGAGCCACTGTCCTCGTGCTGAGTGGCACACTCCCGTATGCCACGACGCATGGCAGGCCACTCTGGACCATCGGGAGGAGTACGCGGCTGTCTAGAGAGGAAGGATGAGAGCCTCGGGCACTAGGTAAAACGGCTGGAGGGGACAAGAATTCTCC